GGCGCCCGCCACAACGCCTGGCTATTTTTTGGTTGCAGCCATCATTGTTTGGTGGGCCAGGCTGGATTCGAACCCACCACCTTAGGTATATGTGGCTGGCGCCTTGGCCACTTGAGCCACAGGTGCCGAGCCAGAAAAGAAAATGTTAATAAGAGACTCTTAAGGAAGAAAAAATACACTTGTAGTATCATACTGTGTTTCCAATACCATGAGTTTCTATCATCTGTATACAAGATGAATCATCTGGTGTGCATCAGTAGCTGCAGGCTTCAGTCTGTAATATGTATCAGGCGATTCACCTTTGTCTTGTATGCCATGACTTTGTTTCTTGGGAGCTCTTCCAGCAGCATTAGTACTTCATATGGGTCCCCTGGTGTTACCCAAGGTTCATGGTATTGCCCTAAACATGAACCCTTCGCACAGAGATGATTGACATCACATGGCATTTTAAGCAAACTTTTTTGAGTTCACCAGTAGCAACAGGAGGTAGCTACAAAATTATTACAGTAGGATAGTATGTACTACAGTTAATTTATGATAGATAATATTCACAAAGTGACAGTGTAAACTCATTTCCGTAGGAGTATTTAAAGTTTATATGCCAGATACCTTGGTTATTATGGGATGAAATATTTTATTCCTTTTCTTCCTTGTAGCACAACATTCTGAAATTTTTTGGTCATTGCAATGAACTTGATCGGAAGATGAGAAAATGCTTGAAGAAAGAGGTAAGAATATTGTCAGAAGATGGAAATGTTGAACAATAGAACAGAACAGTTTTGAATATTATATCATTACTGCCATTATTGAATTTTTCTCCAGATTTTAGAGAACCTTTACGGTATGACTTCCTGTCTAAAACCAAAAGGAGAAGTGAAAGTCTCTTCTGGATGTAGTTCTAGAACATTTTTTGTTTTTTTTTGTTTTTTTTTTTTTTTTTGCTGTGCACACAGGTGATGTAAACAGCTTCCTTATTATAATCACCATAATTACTCTAGACAAATTTTAAGGTTTAGGAAACTGAATCTCTGGTTAGCAGAAACATTTATGTCAATCAGCTGTTTGCTGATAAGCAGGCAACTAAAACTTTCTGGGCCCCAATTTCCATATCAATTGAGGAGGCTGGACTTAGGCTCTTTAGAACTTTAACATTTTGAATCTCTTTGGACTTATACTTTGTATAAGCCATAGGGATCGGAGTTGGACTTGTTTGGGAAGACTGTCATCTCCTGAACCTGGTTTTCCATCCAGCTGGACTTGGTCAAAGTCCATAGTGCATTGTCTTTTCCTGGTACTGCTAACCAAGCAGAGCACTTTTTAAACATTTGAAAAGAAATTTAACTTAATTATTGTTTGGTACATCAAATGTTTTATGTCCTGAACCTTTAAAAATACATGATGATCAAAAATCTGCCTTCTCATTTTAATTTTCTGTATCTTAGAACTTTTTTTTCTGTTAGTCTCCGACTAAAAAGATTTAAATATAATACTTGAAATTATGTAGCATCTGTCTTTTCATTTTGTATGTTTTCCACTCTAGGGTTTTTTTTCTTTTTCTTCCTTTCTTGGAATCTCTTTTCAGTATGATGCTTATTACCTTTACTCTTTGGAGAACTTTGTGCATAAAATTACCTGTGGTATATACTGTACTACTGTAGTGGATTTCTGGTCACCTAGAATATTTTGTAAAGGTTGTCTAGCCTGACTTATCTTTGAGATTCCTGGTCCAGGAGAGTGAAGTAACTCACAGTCACAAATCTCCACTACTTTCTCTCAGGGGTGGTGGGAGAGGTTCCAGCCCTGTCCGTGGTTAGCTCTCTGTCACTATTCTTTGATTTCTGTGGCCTATCTTTCTGGGTATATGGCTCCTAAAAGATTTTGAGGTTCAGCTGTTTGCATACACTCAGTTTTTCAGTTTGGATTTACTTTTACTCTTTCCCCCCTCTGTCCAGGGGAGAAATATTCATTCACTTTTAAAGTACATCTGTTTTGGCATACATGTTATAAGCGTGTGAATATACATAAGGGAACGAGTTCCTCTGCTTTAAACATAAGGCAATCTTTCGTGAAAATCTAAGTGCTTTTTGTAAGTGCCAGGCTCTGTGTTTCCTGTTATTTGAAACCTGCTGTGGCTCCGTCCCATTACTACACTGAAAACCTTCTAGGTGAAAATTGCCTGTAGACTAGTGATTATAGGAACATAGGGTTTGGGGAGAATCCACTTTGATGACTGTTCATAATGAAAAAATCCTGGGAAGATCAGCTGACTCTATGCTTCCGTATGTGTTAATAGGGTACTATGGTTGCCCAGAGCCAGTTCGTCTTTTGATAATTTCTGCAGGAATATAAAGTGACAAAGTCATAAGACGTAAGGCCCACTGTAGTCCATGGCTGTCACTATCTCTAGAGCACTATATTCAATTGTTATGATTTTCTTTTTAAGTCAGGGGCATCAGTGTTAAAGTACTTTATGAAATAAAAGTCATTTTGTAGATAAGATATTAGAAGATAAAAGTTGTGTTCTTTGGAACAGTTACAGAAACCAGCAGTGATCAGCCTGAAAGTTATTATAATTAGAGGTTCAAAAATTATAACAAGCAAGAATAAACAGAAGGCAATAGGAGTTTTACAGGAAAACACTTTCTGGTTCAAGGTAAAAATCTTTGAAACAAGTAGAACTGCCCAACAATTAAACCGGTTACCTGTCAAGGCAGTGAGTAGAAGGCTCAGCACAGGTTAGAGGACTTGCTAGACTGTGACCCCCTGGAGAGCAGGGCAGAACTCATCTATCTTAGATACTTAACTGAGTTCATATTTTGGGAGGAAATTGATTCAGCAAATATTTTTGGGCCTGTTGGGATGCTATACTATAGTGAAAAAAATTTTTACTAGGTGTCCTCAAAGGTCACTGTTTCAGATCTCAGGGACATAGAAGACAAATTCAAATTTTGTCAGTAAAAACACTTTTTCTTTCTAAGAGACAGTCTCACTTTGTTGCCTTAGGTAGAGTGCCGTGGCATCACAGCTCACAGCAACTTCCAGCTCTTGGGCTTAGGTGATAATACTTTTATTTTGCAAATATTTCTAAGTGTTTATGAACAGTGACATAATCTGCTGTCTCTTCTCTCTCCTTTCTTCTTTTTATTTAGTACATTGGAAAGAGGGCCAAGAGCAGGGAACATGGCGATGCGATGCGGAAGAGACTTTTTGATTCTCCAGATGGATCTGAAAAATAAGTTCTGTTTCCACTGAAAGCCTTGGCTGAGAGAAGACTGTTGGTGGAAAGCTGAAAGAATCCTGTCTTACTTGGTCTATAGAGTCCTTGAATGGAAAATGACCCATGAGAAACTGAACTACGGAGAAATATGAAAACGCTGGATTCCAAGTATTCGTTGGGCAGAGTCTTTAGTACCATCTCTCTTGTGCCAACAAACCTGACTTCTACCCTGTTCCTTCCCTTTGTTACCACCAGTTAACATTTGAGTAGCTTATCTCCCGGAATAAAGTTATTTAAGTAGTTTTTTTCTCCTGTCTCTTAGGCTCTTCCGCAGTTAGGGCAAAACGGTGCCAGTAGGCTTCCCTTTTTGACATTGTGATGATTCTAAAGCTTACACATCGAAGACATAAGTTAGGGCAAAAACAGTTCTAGGGAAGTCCCTGGAGTATTAATTAACTATATGATAATGTTCTGATGTTTCTGTTTTTTGAGACAGTCACACTTTGTCGCCCTGGGTAGAGTGCTATGGCATCACAGCTCACAGGAACCTCAAACTCTTGGGCTTAAGCAATTCTCTTGCCTCAGCCTCCTGAGTAGCTGAGACTATAGGTGCTTGCCACAATGCTTGGCTGTTTTTTTGTTGTAGTTGTCATCGTTTAGCAGGCCTGGGCCAGGTCGAACCCATCAGCCCATATGTATGTGACCGGCGGTGCCCTAACCACTGAGCTACGGATGCCAAGCAATGTTACTGTTTTTAAAGATTGATATTTAGTATTGATAAAATTGCATCTGGTTGTGATGTATGTCTTGGCAGACTTTGCTTCCCCATGTGCTTGAATGTGCCTGCTGTGGATGCCGGGTAATTCCTGGGCATTAACCTTGAGCCAGTGTGTCTCCTCTGTGAGGGTCTCTAATTCCCACGCTCAGTGCCAGTCTTCATTTCACCAGTGTTCTCTCTGCCAGGTGTTTCTCAGCCACAGCAGGGGTTTGGGTATCTTGTCAGGCAGGTGTGAAGGAGCAGACTGAGCTGTGAGCTCCTTCCAGTGGAGCTCTCTGTATAACATCCACACGAGGCTTTGTTGGTGTGTGTTTAGTAAGTAGATATCCCCCTCACAGGAGGTGTTCCACAAGCAGAGCATTTACACTTAGCAAGGTGATTACAGAGAGTAACACATTCAGTGAAAGATGGGGAAGAACCAGGATTAATTCTGAGGTCCTTTACTAGACAGATTGTATGAATATTTTAGTTTCCTGAGTGTCAGATATAGAAATCAGACATTTTGCCTTTAGAATCTTGCAGTAAACTGACAAGTTGATTATTAGTCAGAGCTAATTATGAAAGTGCCATGATTAGGTGGGTATCCTAGAAAATGTAGGAGGGGCATCCATTCCCTTTTCCTTTTTTTTGAGACACAATTTTGCTTTGTCACCCTTGGTAGAGTGCCCTGGTGTCATACCTCATAGCAACCTCAAACTCTTGTGCTCAAGCGATTCTCTTGCCTCAGCCTCCTGAGTAGCTGGGACTATAGGCGCCACCACAATGCGTGGGTATTTTTAGAGATGGGATCTTGCTATTGCACAGGCTGGTCTGGAGCTCACGAGTTCAGGTAATCCACCCACCTTGGCCTCCCAGAGTGCTAGGATTATAGGTGTGAGCCACCGTGCCCGGCCTCTAGGGAACTTTTTAAGTCATTTAGCATGACCAGAATTGGGAGCTGTAGTGGAGGAACATCACAAGCAGCTTTGAAATCTGTGGGGATTTTATCTTCAGTGCTGTGATGGCCAGTTGCAGATTTTAATACAGTGAGTAGGATTTCAGGTAGGGGGTTAGTTGGAGGAGTGATATATTTCAATTTTTACTTCAGTAACATTTTTCTGGTTATAGTTAGGGGGATTAATTGGAAAGGAAGGAAGATTACACCCAGGGAGACCAATTAGAGTTTTGTCCTAACTTAAGTTAGAATTAAGGGCCTGAATTAAAGATGTGGCTTGGGCAAGGGATCAGCGTGACTTTCCAGGTGAAGGATTTAAGGAAGCATCTAGGTGTCTTTCTCGGGCAGTCTTTCTCAGCAGCAGCCTGCATGCTAACAGCACCCTTGAGGGTGAGAGTGGCCTGGAGAGATGGGTGTCGGGGAGATGGGTGATGGAGATGGCTGATGGGATGTTGCTGGGCATTCAGGTGTCCTTAGAGTTGCCTAGACTGAAGCAGAACTTGGAAAAGTCAGCAGAGAGATGGAAGCCACGGCCCCACATGCCAATGTTGTTAGCTGATGGTGAGAGTTGTTTTATAGAGCAGAATGAAACTTGGGATATGGCTTAAGTTTTAAAAAATCAGATAAGTATTATATGAGTGTGTTTTTATGGGCTAATGAGACAACTTGCAGGTTTTATAGAATAAAAGGTGGGCATCATCCTCATACTCCAGTATCACTTGACTCCCCAGAAGTGTCTGTGGTTGGCAGTTGGGTAGGTCTTCTGTGCATTTAAGTATTTAGGGACAGAAGAGGACACCCACATGTGGGAGGAGAGCAGACACACGGCAGATGCAGACCTTAGAGCAGTGGTTCTCAACCTGTGGGTCGCAGCATTAGAAAGGTTGAGAACCGCTGCCTTAGAGGATGGTTTTGTAGAGTGCCAAGGTGGTTGGTTTTGGAGGAGGACGTGTCTGTTTGTCATCTGAGAGCCATCTGAGTGAGGAGGGAACAGAACTGAAGGGTATTCGCACATTTGAAAATGCTTGTCTGGTAGGGAAGGATGGTGTAAGCTCAAGGGGGGCTTCTTCTAAATTCTAAAATGGCAGGTAGGGCCTTGGAAATGGGTGTATGTTGAAAATGCCGGAAAAGGAAGTATTAATTTACGGAGTGGTATTGATGAGATTCAGAGCCCATGCTGACCATGACTTATTTTACTCAGAGAACAGATAGGAAACTGGAAACTGTGAAGATTCCTTTCAGAGAGTAGTGACTCCGTATTTGTGCAGAATGCAATGCTGGTTCTTCTATAAAGGATTAAGAGCACAAGCTCTGTTTCTGCTTTCTAAGGACTAAAAATCTCAGACACAGTAACACGGCCACCCAAGCCAGTGATATCTTGGTGAACATTTAATAACTAGATAGACTCTTAAAAAAAAAAGGCAGTGTTTGTGGCATTTGCCATTTTCAAATACTCCCATTTCAGACTGCCGACCTGATGTCACTGGAGGTAGAGCTGGAAAGAGAGGCACCAGCTGACTCCAGCCAAGCCCACCCCCAGTTCTCCTTGGAGGGAGCTGTAGAGTGTCAAGTTACTTGATTTCCCATCTCCAGCATGTTGGTGGCTTGGAAAGACCTGCACCCTATGCTGTGCACTGTTGGGACTTCCCTGACAGAGCAGCTGAAGCTCCTGGTGCATGTCATTTTGTAGAAGAGCAAGTAACCATATACCAGGTGGGTTTAGGAGGAAATGGGACCTGCCTGTGCTGGGAAGGTTGGATTTGTGCCCCTGGAGCTCAGATGCCTCTTGCCTTTAAGCCCATATGTTTCATAATCCGGTGACCTCGATAACCATCTCAAAGATAGCACCTTAAAAACTGTCTTTCAGTTGTTACCTAGCTATTGACAGGGTGCTCAGCCCCTCTGGATTTCAAGTGTTGTTTTTTAAGTTTTAGAGATAAAGTCTTAACTCTGTCACCTAGGCTAAAATGATCATAGCTCTTGTAACCTCAAACTCCCACCCTCGGCCTCCAGCAGTTTTCCTGCTTCCGCCTTATAAGTAGCTGGAACACAGGTACATGCCATTTATACCTGGTCAATTTTTTTCATTTTTGTTTTTAGAGACAGGTTCTCACCATGTTACCTAGGCTGGTCTCGAATACCTGGCCTCAAGTGATCTTCCTGCTTCTCTGCCTCCCAAAGTGCTAGGATTATAGACTTGAGATGCCGTGGCTGACTCAGCTCTGATTTTCACATTGAGGTTGCTAGGCAATATAGCAAGACCCCATATCGGAAAAAAAAAAAAATACAAAAAGTAGCTAGGTGTGGTGGTGCACGAGTTGATCTAGGAGGATCACTTGAGCCCTGGAGTTTGAGGTTGCAGTGAGTTAGGATGGTGCCACTCCACTTCAGCCTGAGTGACAGTGAGACCCCATTTCAAAAAAAGAAATGAGGTTGCTGGACTGGTGGCTTGTTTACCACTGAATCCGTAGTACTTCAGGCCTAAGCACCAAATACTTGTAGGAGGTAATGTTCTTTTGCCAAAAAAATCTGTGACTGTGAGAGCAATTTGGCCTGGTGGTGTTTTCCTTCCCATCTAGGCCACAGCTTCCTGTCCCACATCTCGGGGGGCTGCTGGGAGCCGCCTGCACTAATAGGAGCTTATCGGTGCCCTTCAGGAGTATTGAGGTTGGATGGAGGGTCTCAACGTCCTGTTCAGGACTTTCCTTCCTTGTCTAGGCTGACCTCCATGTGCACTACCAGGGAAGCCCCCCCAACCCCCTGGTGTTACACATTCCAGCTGTTCCCGATCCCCAGAGAAAAGCCCACGCTCAGTGTGAGCCTGATCTAGGGAAGGAGTTTGAGAACGAAACATATCTGAAAAAAAGCAAGGGCCTCTCAGTGTTACTATAATAAGCACACCCAAACTGGGGTAGTGGGAACACTTCCCCTGCACTTTGGTAGAGTGCCCAAATCACTTGGACTGGTTGTATTTGGGCAGGGCGCCAGGTAATGGGGTAGGGGCCACAGGGTGAAGGGCTTGGTGTGAGGCAGAAGGAAGGACCAGGCCCCCAGGACTCATCCCAGCCTGGTCCTATTCCCTACGTTCTGCCTTTTCCACAGAGGGAGCTAGTTCCAGGGGTGGCTGTATCTTCTCCTTTTTTTTTTTTTTTGAGACAGAGTCTCACTCTCACCCTTGGTAGAGTGCTATGGTGTCATAGCTCACAGCAACCTCAAACTTCTAGGCTCAAGGGATCCTCTTGCCTCAGCCTCCCAAATAGCTGGAACTACAGGTACCCACCTGTAGGTGCCCAAACAGCTATTTTTAGAGACAGGATCTTCTTGCTCAGGCTGGTCTCAAACTCCTGAGCCCCTGCTTTGGCCTCCCAGAATGCTGGGATTACAGGCGTGAGCCACTGTGCCTGGCCTGGCTGTACCACCTTTGGCCACCCCATCTCTGGTTATATCTCATTTCCAGTCTGACTTCCCCCAGCCTATAGGGGATCACAGTGAGATCTCAGAGTTTCCCTCTCAGGGGCAAGCATGCTTCCTCCTGAGGATTCCCAAGCATTTAAGAAACTTTCCACTTGTAGTAAAGGCTAGAAGAAGAT